CAGTTATTTTCCTATCCTCTGCTTTAATATTTCCAGGGCAGGCATTATTAATTATTCAGAAAGATTTAGGCAGCCGACTTCCATTTCAAAAGCCCTGACATCTTTTTCTGCACTGTAAGAAACAAAGGGTCCTGAGTGAATTGGTGACAGTGCCTCCATTCAGTCAGCTGGGAAGGTGTTGTCACAGCTCTGTCCTGATTTGATGTTGCAAAGGTATTTCTGGCTGTCAGCATGCAGCACACGCTGACTTACAGGTAACACAATAGCAAACCTCTCAACTTCTCTCATCACAGGCATCACCCTCAGCTTTTTGTATGTGCCAGCATTTGAGGAACTGCCTGTTGAGCATAAAAATGAGATTTAAGTCCCCCAAACCCCACAAGACTTAAGTGTTGCTGACCCTTTATTTCATTTGACTGAATTGTTCAGCATCTTTCATCAGTCATTTTCATGTCATGACCTTAATTCCTGTACACATCTCACACCAGTTTCCTTAAATGTCACATTTAATTAGAATTTTTAGGTCAGTGTTCTGGTACATTGCACTTGTTTGACTTTGTACTTCTGTTTTAAGCACCTTTGTAATTATATATAATATTTTGCCTAAACAAGCTTCTGATTTCCATACAAATTATTACTAAGCAGAGAAACTAATGTGGCAGTATTTAATTGTAAAAGTGAAGGTGTGAATGCAGTTTTTAAACATAGGAACTACTGCTTGATAACTGAACATACAAGTAATGTATTTGATTTTTCCTGTGCTGCTTGAAAAATAAAATACATCCAGCCTGTTTAAAGTTCCATCTGCTCAGAAAGCTGTATTATTTTAATAAATTAATCCCACCAGAAGACACTTGCAGGCATCTGGTTTTTATATTGGTAGCTGCTTGTAATTCACTGGCAGTATTTTTGAAATTTGTCTTCCATTTAAACTGATTATGGATGCTGCTTTTTGAAAATTTAGGACAAAAGGCTCCTCTAGAGTGACTTTTTATTCCCTGTGGAGTGCTGCTTCTTGTGGATTGATTGAAGTCCTCAGGAGGTCACAGACCTCTCTTACATCAGTAAGAATTTCAAGTACAACTAAAATTTTGATGTAGATTTAGCTTCAAAGTAGTTTCTGTGGATTGTGACATCTGGTCAAAATCAAGATGCTGTGTAAATTAATTGCTGCACATCCAGTTCTCTGCCATAGAGAGCTGTTTGAAAACTTCAGAACTTCTACTGCAGCTGTCACTGTATGTGTGTGAGAAGGATTTGGTAAATGGGTTTTCCAGGAGGAGGAAACTGACTGCCTTGGATAAGGTTTAGATGTGAGTTAGACAAAGGTTCTGTCTAGAGAAGGGTTGCAATGCCTTGAAATTTAAGGTTTTTCTGACCATGTGCAAGTAGTTGGGCAAAGACACTGAAAGATAAATTAACATCATGCTTTTTATGCACTGCAGTTTGACTTTCTTGCAGGTATTTGGTTTTCATTAAAAAGGGCAACATGAAGATTATTCATTAAAGGGAGAAACACTACATTATTGTATTATGATTAAAGATGTATGAAAAATTTCTTCCTGGTGTTTCGAGTCTTTCATTATTAGAGAAGGGACTGACTTAAAAAAACAGGCACAGAGCTTTACTTCTGTGATGTTTCTGGTCTTGACCTCATTCTTTAACAAACGTCAGAAGCAGTGTTTGGATTCATACAAAATAGGGAAATGGATCACTTGTGTCAGTTAAATAGTGACCCTTACTCAGATTACCTTATTCCCTGCAAATTGACATCATGTGTACATAACATCTGTACACAAGTGGCTCAGTCTCAGCTGGGATGGAACTTGGAACTCCAGCTCTCTTGAGTCAAAATTGTTGGATCATACCTTGTTCCTCTTGTAATAATACTTCAAAATCAACTGATCAAGTAATGTTTTTTTTTTCTTCCACCCTTGAATTTATTGACTAATATAGATGAAAGTACAGTTACTGTTTGCCTTAATAGTAGCAGAGAATGCCTACAAAACCTTTTTTTTGGTCTGAATCCAAATCACCAGTACTGTGGCACTGCATTCTGGATCAGGTGAACATAATCAAGCATGAATGCTTAGACTGGAGGAAGAACAGTTATTTGAAGGGAAGGCAGATGTACAGCTGTCATCTTGTCTTAAAAACTATGGGAAATAACATCACTTGCACACTCTATGAAATAGATGGAAAATACTGGAGAAGGGAACTCAGTTCATCTCTCACATCTGAAGAAATGCACACAGAAACACAGTGGGGAATTTAAAAGCCCAGGCATACCAAAAAGTGGCAAAAAATGACACTGAGCTTAACATACTGCCTGATATAACCTGTGGTTACTGACTTTGCTGCTGTGAAAAATGTGTGTGTGTATATGGATATTGCCATGTGCCAAAGAGCTGGCTGAAGCATATGTCAGCTCTTAAATTTTGGAAATTGTTTCATGGTTTTTTTCTCTTCAGACTCCTCCTCTGAGTTTTTAGGCTCTGTAAGAACTCTGCCTGGCTGAACTGCACTCATGAGAAATGCTGTAGGAGGGAAGTATTAAAAATACTTCTGAAAGTGGAACTAAACAGAACTTTGTGTGGCTAATGTTAAGCATGAAGTGGAAGGAAACTGGTTTTAAGGGTGAGCCTGGTTCAGAGTCTGCCTAAATTATAATTCCTTTTATGTAGGAATTCAGAGCAAAAAACAGCAAACAACCTGGAAGGTAGCTGGAAATGGGAAACAAAGGAGGAAAAACTCTCTTGGCTAATAAGTTCAGTGGTCTGCAGGTCTGTCCACACATGTCCCTGAGGTGTATGCAATGTGGCAGGTACTTGTGCATCTTAAAGAGGCACTGAGAAGTGAAATGAGAAAAACAGTAGTGCTTTAAATGCTGAAATAATCTCTAAAATGTTATCAAATTCTTTTCCCCCCAAATGTAACTATCTCTCTGAGCCTGGTCTCTGCAAAGCTTGGCACAATTCACTGTCCCAGGTCTGACTGATCCTTTATGACAAAAATTAAACTTGCAATTATGTATGTGTTTAAACAACTGCAAAAAATGATTGAATGTATTAAAAGTTAGCAGAGGCCAGATCACTTCTTTTATTACTTTAGGTAAGGGAAACTGAAACTATGTAGGACTGGCTTAAATTAGCTTTACTGCAAATGCAGCAGAGCTTGAGGACATGAGCTGATTCACTGAAACTTGTATGTAAATGTACTTGAAAGCCAAGTACATGTTGAATAGGCTAAGATTAGGCTGAAGCTTGGTAGTGAGACACTAGTTAGACCTCTGTCGAGGCTTTAATCATATTTGCTCCATTTATGACATGAGAATTGCATTTTTTTTCAGCTGTTGTCTTTGTTCCTGCAGAAGTCTTTCTCTAATTCTGCCACTAGTGACCACTTCCAGGCAGATGACAATGCTTTGGCTGCACAGTTTCCTTCTTCAATTATGCAAGGCAAGAATTTAGACTGGAGAATAGCATTTGCCAGCTGTTTTTCTTTGGGGATGAATACTGGCTCAGAAAGCAGTTGTGTAAGTGAACTACTAGTATGTCTTCAGCAGTCACTAGAGAACTGTTCACCACTTGACTAGTCTTGTCTTTAGGTGCCATATTATTAATAGCAAATACATTTTACATAAGGTACTATATAATCTTGGGCCACATAAGAAACAAAAAATACTGGTAATGTACAGGAAAAAATTATAAAAGGTGCAGACGAGCAGGAAGCCATGCAGACTGTCTGCATTTCAAAAGATGTTCCTAAATGGATAAAACCAAGTTCTTCCAGGTTCTTTGAGGCAGTTGTGACTTACAGACATGGCAATCTAGTATTTCCTATTTAGTACTTCTTATTTTGTACTCAAGTACACTTTTTTTTGGTTTGTTTTCCTCCAGTAAGAAACTACACATAATGTTTTAAACTCAAGATAAATGTACTCAGTAACAGAATGAGCCCACTTTGCCCCTTCACTAGCTATAGATCTTTTGCAGTTAAAACAACAAAGCCTTGTCCTAAAGCCTAATACAGCCTGATAACAGTAAGGTGAAGTGAGAAGGAGCCACAGAAGTGAGCAGCCCATGCAGGCTGCAGTTACTTGGATACAGCTCATGTTTTTGCCTGAGGTATGTGATTCTCCAAATTGCATTATAAAGGAGTATCTATCCTTCTTTTTATGTATGCTCCCTTGCACAGGCTTGCAACATGAAAGCAATATAAACAGACCTATCAGCAAGAGCTCCTGAGTCACCTCACACCTCTTATCTAAAATATGTAGGTGTTAAAAAAAAAAAAAAGTTTATGTAATGGTAAATGCAAACATGTTATGTCACCTTCATACAAAAAATAAAAATTGGTAGCTTGCCATTGTTACTCTGAATCTCGTAAATCCTCACATGGCACAAAATGCCAAAGCATCTGGAAGAGTTTGATATAAGGCAGCTTTCTTGTTTAAAGCCCCTTTTCTAGTCAAAACCTTTAATAATTGTACAAGACAAAACTTTGTAAGGCCCCTTGAGACATAGCCCAAACAATATACAGGTGTTGTCTTTATTGAAGGCTGCAGTTGTATCTACTGCAATAGGAAACAATTAAGGAAAAGCCAGTGACAGTCTGGTCAATGGAGTAAATAAATTTGCTCTTGATTACTCGAGACTGAAAATAGGTCTGCCATGTTCTGAACTTACAGAAGATGTTCCTCCTTAATGCCTGCTGTTCTTCACTTTCAGTAGGGCAGAATTTGTACCATGACCAGAGAAGTGCTGATTTACAAAAATGATAGCAGGGGATTCTAGTCCTGTGTAATCCTTAGTTTGACTTCAATACCTAATTTCCAGCTTCTGCTGAGTAGTAGTGAGCAGAATTTAACATACTCATCTCCAGGCTTTTTGCAGCTTAACTATTTCTAGCTGCCTTCAATAAGCAACATGCTACAAGTGTGCATGTGGTGGGAGGGTGGCAGAGCTCTATTTATTTCAGCCAAAAAGCACACTCAGGCATTTGGATTCAGTCTTTTTTAATAAATTAATGTCATTCAAAATACAGTGCCAGAACATGATGCAGCTGAACATGCTAGTAAGGTTTGTCATGAAGCACCTGTGTTCATGTTAGGTTGGCGGCACCCCGCTACTGCTAGTGGTTCCTGGGATTAATGCCAGAGCAGCACTAGGCATCTGCTCTCCTGCACACACAGCACAGGATATTCCTGAAGTTTGCTTCCCCCCCCCAAAGTAAAAAACCTGACAGCTAAGGGATATCTATACACAATCACACTACAGTAATGCTTGTTATTAAATTAACAGAAAATAAAGACCTGGTTAATCCACACTAAAACTTCGTTTTACAATGGAAAAATACATCAGCAGCAGGAAGTAATATACATGAGCCAATGTTACTGTAATACAGAATGTGGAGGCATTTACTGATTAAAGCCCCACATAGACCCGCACTATGAGGGCTGGCAATTCCTATCGCAAGCCCAGCAACTTTTAAGTCCACACCTGGTAATCTACCAGCTGCTTGGAAGACCTGTATTCTAAATAGACAGGTATAAGTTAGTGAAAATAGAATACATGCACCTCATCATACAGCTTGACTGAACCTGCAGTCATTTTGCCCAGCATGTTACCATACAATGGAAGATCTACCCTTCCTACCACAGGTGTAGATCCATGGGATTTGTTTCTTTTTCTTTTAATGGCATTACTATACCAACATAGATATTAGTATTTAGTAAGTGCGGCACAGTCCTTTAATTAGGCCACACTGACAATTATATAACTAGCACTTAAGTAGAATATCCAGAAGTAGTTAAAATGTAACTGGAAGATACTTTCAAAAGAGTTGTGACATCATCCTAGAAACAATAACTACTTTTTTTCTTAAGCTAATTTTCCTGAATGGAGACTTTATAGAACTAGAATTAATTCTTTAGACAAGTCAGATGCTCAAGCTCATGATATACATATATTTTTCTCAATTATCTGATAATAGTATTTGAGATTATGGAAGCATATCTGCTCTTTTCACTAATTCATACTGAATGGCGGCAAGTGTTAGGTAGGGCATAAAAATACAACTCATGAAAGACAGCTCTGAGATTTCTGTCCCCAGACCTGTTCTTTCACAGCCATTTATTTCTTTTATTATTTTATAACTGAGCACAGACTCAGTTGTGCAGTCTAATTTGGGAGCTATACAGGTGGTAAAGTAACCATCTCCCCATCCAGCTCGAATTCATCGGCTCCGTCTGGCGAGAAGAGATACGTTGGAGGTTTCCACGGGGACTCTTCAAGGCAAGATGGATACAGCTTTCCTACAGTGCACCGGAAGTCTTTGCCCAGGTCCCACAGCACGCGCTCCGATATGTGCTGCCTCAGGAACCAGCGGTCGAGTTCCAGGTCATACTGGTAGGTGGCATACTTGGCTCTCTCGTTCATGTGGGTCTCCCGAATAAAGACACATAAGGAATTGGAGATGACGACGGCCCTGACGCACGGGTCGGAATAGCGCTTGGCAGGGATGTTGGCTGCCATCCTCCATTCGTTTTTATTCACGTCATAGATCTCCACCGTTACAGAAGACCCATCCACAGTACTGCTGGGCAGCCTTATCCCAGAATTGCTGGCAATGTGCAGCCCTCCGATATAGAATATCTTATCGCCAAAAGCAGCGGCTGAGGCGAAACATCTGCTCGTCTGCCGCATGGCCATCTCCACCCAGGCGTCCGAGCGGGGGAAGTAGCAGTACATCAAGTTGTGCGCCATGACATAGATGCAGTTGTGCACCGCCACGGCCGTGCTCCACTGCCACGCACAGGGCAGGGGGCTCACCATGGTCCACTCGTCCTTCTCGGTGTCGTACCTCTCCACAGTCCTCCTGTTGAGCTCCCCGCCGACGCTGTCGCCCCCGATGGCGTAGATGTATCCCTCGCAGCACACCAGCGACGGCTTGATGCGCACAAAGAGCATCGGCGTCTTGGGGAACCAGGTGTTCTGCTGCGCGTCGAACCAGTAAAAGCAATTCACGGTCCTGAAGGCAGCCTGCAGTTTGCTGCTTTTGCTGTGATTGGTTTTGGTGTTTTTCAGAGGAACTTGCCCACCTGCTATATAGATGTCGTTATCGGGAGTTACCAGTGTCCCAACCTTATGCAGGTCGGCAGGAGGGTTGCAGAGTTTGTAAACTTTCTCTGCCTGTGGGCTGTAACAGACAGAAGAGTAAAGACTACCAGGGTTTTCAGCAGCAGCTTCGATGAATATCATCATCTCCTCTTTTGTCATGCCAAGTCTGGGCTTGAAAAATTTGGGCATCGATTTGTACAGTCCTTGCACCACCACTGATTTATCATTTGGTGGCAAGCCTTGAAACCAGGCTCTCTGTGTTACTTCTGAAAGTGCATCGATCCGGATTTGGCTAAGAACAGAGGACAAATACTGCGAGCGGGATTCCGTGTTGTACTCCAGCCATAACATAGCAGCCTCACGCACTGTCTCCTCCTTTTCCACATTTAAATTGTCACTGCTTAAAATATCTATCAGTAGATCATGTGACAGTTGCATGAAAGCCTCCTGGTGGTACACAGCTGTGAACTTGTGCTCCACCATTCTTTTAGCACTCTGTTTTAACTCCTCACAGCTGAAGAGATCAGCAAAGCTTAATAGACGGACACAATTTTCCGCATTAATTTTTTTGATTAAGTATTCTCTACATCGTTGTAACACATCATCTACCTGTAATGCAAAGAAACACACAAAGTATTACACATACAGTCTATGCTTTCATGTAGCATCAGCACATAAAGAACCTGTGTCTGTTGAACAACACAGTTCAGGCATGGAATAATATACATACACAAAAATACAGCAGTGACTCACTCAGCTGCTTCATACAGACCAAGTACACAACGTGATTATGTCTGCTGGCAAAACTAATTTTCTAAATGTTAGAAGTACACTGGTTTACTTCCAGCCTTCCAAAGAGACTGTCATGCAAGGAGGGATGGCTACATGAAGTAAATTTGGCAAGCAACTGTCTATACAGAGCGAATGGAGCAAAAGTGTTTTGAAATGACTAAAAGGAAAGATCTTTTAACAAGATAAAGAATAAAGTGGTTCAGAGCTTAGGAGCTGTTATTTCCTCCTGTAAACATTCCTACCTGTAAGAAGCAGGCAGTTTCATAGAGCTGCTCTACTGTGCTGTCGCTTATTGCCAGGTTACCCGTGTATGCATAAGTGATGATGATCTGCAGAGTGGCTGCGTCCACATTCCTCAGGTGTACGTGTGTCTGTTTGCTCTCACTCAGCCCGCTCATGAACATTGCTCTGAGGAGAGACACACACATTAAGACAAGGATCAGCAGTGAGTAATCTGAAACAGTCACCTGTAAGCCTCTGGTGATTACACTCCTAAAAGTGAACAGTCCTTTTGCAGGTGTTTAGAATTTACCTTAGGCTGACATCTGCTATTTACAATATAACATTTGGACAGAACATCAAAAGAGTAACATCAGTGTCTTCTGCAGAAATACTTTATACTAATACAAACCCTTCTGTGTTAATCAGCAGATAGTGCTAATGATTTTGGAGTTTTAATGACACAATTTAAATATTTTCTGTGATTGGTGATAAGAGGGAAGAAACATCCTCCAGAAAACACTGTTGAAACATACACAGTTAGACTTTAGATTCTAAACCAAAAGAAGTAGATTTATGTAATGGGCTGAGCTAAGTCATATCAAAAAGGATGCTCCTCTGGGAGGAGAAGAAATGGAGCAAGGACTAGCACTTTATGAATTATTTCTTATATACTATTCATCATAACATGCAGTAAACTTCAAATTTGCAGGCAACAATCAATAACAGAAAAACCTATCAGATCTAATCTGGGAAAAAAAAGAGTGAGTATTTCCATGACATCTTCCTGAAGAAGACTAGAAAGGCAATTAAAACCATTATTATTGTTCCCTTAATGTTTCACACACCTCTTGCCCATCCTGGTATTTTCATTGTAACACAGTTAAGAACTAACTGCAATCTGGTACTATAAGCCACATACTTGTCAATTTTCTTAAAACAGGGGACATTGGTTTCAAGAGCTTTATATTGATTCAGGTTTGGTATTTATGGTTGTGCTAAAAATTCAGTTCAAGGCTCTTTATATTTATTTGGGTTTTTCTTTTTTAGGAAACCAGGCATGAGAGAAGTTAGAAGGGACAGTGAGTGCACCTTTTAGTCCTGCTTCTGGCTGCAGAGATGAAAGGGACATGGAGATACACTCCCTAAGCAAAGCCATTCCAGAAAGCATCTGATACAAAAACAGTATCCCATCCCCTTTTCTCTGTCTTCTTCTAAGCTCCTCAACTCAGGGCAACTTGCATTTTAGGAGGGATCACTGACTGAGTATCAACTTGCTGTGCAGCTGTTTAAAGATAAACAAGAAAGTACAAGAGGGTACAGAGACTCCTCAGAAAGGAAGAGGGAGCTGTTGGAGGCTGGCTCTTGCTCACACACTGCTGAGCAGCCTGTGCTGGAGCAGGGCTGCACATCATTCAGACACAAAGATGGAAGGGAAGGGAAGGTGGCTGCAATCACACACAATGCTGGATCACACAGAAAGATGCTTTGCTTTTCTTCCCCCTCCTTCAGGGCTATCAATTTTTCATAATAAAGCTAAATTTAGGAAGCTGAACATCTTTTTGTAAACCAAAGTAGAGAAGAAAAACAGAACATGACAAAACCACAAGTTTGATACTTCTTTTAACCAGTGCCAAAACCTCATTCCATAAATAATAAACAAACACATATGAATAAGAGATTTGACTGCACATTCTGATGCAGCACACTGGGTGGACTCATGACAGCTTTCCAACCTTATGATTAACCACCCACATTAAATCTGGCTACATTTTCAGTGGCTGTTATTTTACAAATTGTTTGAACTATGTCATCTGCACAGGGCCAATGGTAATAATTATTATCTAGTGATCACACAATACTTGTTGCTAAAAGTTGGACCAGATTCATCTGAGATGAAAAAATAAACAGAAAAGCCAGCAGGGACAAAATTTTTCTGTAAAAGTAATAAATTAATCCTTCCACAGTTTTCTACAATAAAGGAGACAAAGTACAGAAAACATCTCTGATGTGTTCTGTATAGTGAGCCAGTCTCAGGAAAAGCAAATTTGTAAACTTTCCAGGCATTGAACAGGAAAGAAAAGTTATAATCCCTCTACAATGCATCAGGAAGGTAGAACATGCGTGGATGTCAGACTAGTTTCAAGCTTCAAAATTCCTTCCAGACAGATTAATTATATTATGTTGCCAACAAAAATGATTAATCACTGCAGAAAACTGTTGGTGCCTCATCATCCAGGTCTTACTATGAAGGCATTTGCAAAAAGTGGTAGCACTTAACATATCTTATTAATAAAAATGTTTTAAAAGACCAAAACGAGGACATTTGGAATACAAGAGCTACTGAACTAAGAATTTCAACAGTATCTTGGGGGGACCATGATAAAAAAAAAGAAACCCAAACCACACAGAAAAACTTCACTTGCATTGGCACAACACTCAAGCACAAGGGAAGAGTTTCCAGCTTTGCTGAGCAGGGAAAACCAGATGATTCAGAAAAGAAAGCCATGAACTTGCACAGCAGTCCCTACTTTTAGCAGATGCTTCTACTAACAAACTGCAGTTAAACATGACAATGGGATTCCTGTAGCCAAATCTCAGTAATTCCTTATTATCCTACCTTGGGAAATAAAAACAGATTAAGTATTTTAAAGATTCAGTGTGAAGAATAAGAAATTCACTAATTTTTCAGACTCATTTAACTCCCTAAAGAAAATGAGCCATCACAAGTGTGATTTTTTTCCCCCCCACACTCATTGTAGGAACTACAATAAATATCTAGAATTAGTCCCAGGAAGCCAGATGTTTTATTTTACTCTGTGTTGGAAAGTAAGGATATTTAGGTTTTGTACTTCAGTAACTGTTCTTTAAGTCTCTGCTAAACGTTGTCAATTAATTACCATTACACTTAAAATCAGGTAGCACAGATTTTATAGCATTTGAATACTCACCTGAAATATGAGCTGCACGTTGCAAGAACCATCTTATGGCAGGGAAATTCAGTGCCCTCAACAATCAACACTATGTCAGTTAGCAACTGCTGTTCATAAAAGAATTTCAACTGCTCCAGCAAGGATACAGCATACTCTGTATTTATCTGCCTCTCGTCCTGGGTAGACATGACTGTATTCCATTAATATTTCCAGGACCAGAGAGAAAAGTCAAGATTTCTTCACCAAAGAAAGGTCAGCTGAGTGTTTCTGAAGTAGCCAGGAAAGAAATGGCAGGAGGTCTGTAGCCTTCAGAAGTGATACTGATAAAAGGGCAGTGTTATCTTGAACTGCTGAATCAATGTTTCAGACTTTGACCTCCTATTAGGTCATCATGCTGTGACTTGATGTCCCAGTCTGTTCAGAGACTTTCAGGACTGTCTGCAGAGCTCCCGTTGAGATCTATGGCGCAGCAACTGAATGAACAAAAGTGAAGTCTGAGGTAGATTTTGTGGTAACATCTCGTGATCAGTGGCTGCACTTGACTGACTGAAAGCAGGAAAATAAAATTAATTTACACATTAGCACATTTTGGAAAACCTTTCATAGTTACCTCTTAGAAGTAATTGTCTAATAAAGATTTCTAAATTAATACTTCATTACTTGCAATAAAACCCTTCTAAGAAAAAAAATTAAACAACAAAGGTATCTAACAGAAATGAAAAGCAGAGGAGTTTGTACATTAATTCTCATATGACCTAAACTCACAAACTAAAATTCTTTATTTTGTCAACACAGCCCCTAAAGCTGGAGAGTTAAAACAAGTTTCAGTAAGACTTCATTCCTCTTCAAAGAACTACCCAGATTTCCCACTGAGTACACCTGTGAATTTCATTCAACCATTGATAAGATAGCCACTTCCCCCCCATTTCTACATTAAACAGCAAGTTTTTCTGCTTCTTTGTTTTTGTCTACTGAAAGCTTATCAATACCAGGCCACTAAAAAGATAAATGCAGTAATTTTAACATTCCATCACTTTCCAGCTAAACTCTCATCATCATTATCAGCCTGTTTATTTCACCTTTGCTATTCTAGTGGAGATGAAGCAGAACTAGCACTAAGGATTAAAAAAAACCCCAAAACAAACAAAACAAAAAACCCTAAAATTCTACATTTCCAATGCATATTAAATTTATCTGCTGCATGGCGAAGGGCTTCACCTATTAATTTTTCACATTCCCTTGTTTTTCCTTCTGAGTAATTTCCATACAGCCAGGTAAGCTTCACTGCTGCAGACAGGAGAAAAGAAAAACAAGGAAATAGGAGCAAAGGGATGCTGGAATAGCAAGGCTCAAAACACCTACAATGGCTGCCAAGGTCTATTATCTTGTTTGGACATTTCTCCTCTTAAAAATAGGGTCAGGTTTTATTTCATCTTCCACTTGAACACAAAAACCTAATTAAGAATAGGATAGTTGTGACAGTAAAATTACCATCATAATGGGCACCAGAGTACCACAGCTTTTGAATGCTTCCAGATTTATTTAATCTTGCAATGTTCTTCTGCATTCCAAAACTCAGGAACAGCCAGGACATGTTTGTCTTGTGTCTAAGATATCACTATCACTACAGTTCATGATGAACAGAGAATGCAGAAACAACTTGGGTGAAATGACATTCCTTAAATTCCACACAAAAACATAAAATTTAGTGTAAGACCAAGACTGTTGAAATACCTGCAAGCCACACCAAAGATCTACTATTTCAACACAGCCCCGCCTGTAATACAATTCAGAAACAGCTGTCTTTCAACATTCACTCACTTGAAACAGATATACTTAATTAATGCCACTTTAATTACTACTAATTTAGTGCACCCAATCTTTTTCTTTTTCAGTGATAAATATACACAGACAGGATTCTCAAACTCTTAGTGTTCCCTGGTTGTTTACCTGCAAAACAGCCCAACTAGTCAAGCCCAATGCTGACTGTTGAGGTGAAGGCAGTTAATTGAGGAAAACAGAAAAGCCTTTGCTACCTGGGGGAAGGAGTAGATACCACTGTGTGCTACAATAACAGATACTGGCACAAGTCTTGACTGCAGACCTTCACCTTCCAGCTAACGTCTGAAGTCACTAAACCATAAATGCATGGAGGACACAGAGATACTGCTCCATCTAAAGCATTCTGCCTCAGGTCCCAGCTGCTTTCCACCAAGACAGTGTGCATCTCATCTCTGCACTACTGCCCACCCTGCTGCTACTCTGGGAAAGCTCACCATGCAACCCAATCCATTGACAGACTCTGCACTGAACTTTAAACAGCTACACACACACAGACTCCCTACGTGTGCTAGGCCCACAGCAATAAATAGCTTGTGGCTCTGCTGCTATCCCAAGTCTCTCTACAGCATTGTTTGTCCTGGCTTAGGAGTAAAGTTTCAGGAACAATACAAGCTGGTGGATTAAGCTCTGTACGGGCAGAGCATCAGTAACACAAAGCTTTAGCAAAAGAACTCATTGATACCATAACTTCCTTTTCTGATGTAACTGTAAAGAATAGAAATATTTTTTCAGAAACAGGAAAAAAAAAGAAAACCAATATGCACTGGTTCAGTCATTAGGTACCAGAACAAGTCAAGGATGCCATGGAGGAATTGATATACACCTGCTCGTAAGATTAAAGACATTTTTGGCAGAAAGCTGCTGACAGTCAATAACTGAAAAAGCAGACCTGTTCAGCAGAAGACATGTTGAAACTGTGAAATTAATTACTATAAATAACTGGAACATTTGAGTACGACCCTCAATAGCAGAAAAGATTGAGGAGATGACAGGAATCCTGTTGCAGAACATTCATGTGATGTGGATCACCTTTGAACCATACATTTACAAAGCTGGAGCCTTTGGTTTACAGAAAACCATCTGTCGTGTACTCCAGGGAAGTGCACATGGTAGGAACATGCTACATACACGATTCCTGTTTTCCACATCCACACTGGGTTTTGCTGCCAACAATAACCATTTACTAAAGCACAAAGTTTTGTATTTGTCACAGAGTCAGGACTCACATCCCATTCCCTTGTAATGGAAACAAATACATCAAGGATCTCTGAATTACTGGTCCAAAATTGCCATAATTTACATTGTCATTTGCCCAAGAGATTTGAATCTGTTCAAAACATTAGGATAAGTGGCAGTAACATCATTTAGTGCCTGGAAAATCATCCAAGATTACCTCTCACACCTCTTTGGAGAGTTCAAGACTATTTTAAAGGAGATACTCTCCTCACTTTGAGGCTGAAAAACTGAGACATTGAAATACAAAGCAGCTTGTCCAGAGCCATGGACTTCCAAAGGAGGAAAGCAAGAGCCTTAGCCAGTCCCAACCCAACATCTCTCTCATTGCTCTGTGCCTGGCTGGCACACAGTCATTGGATCTGAGATAAATGAAAAACTGTGGACTTGAGGAAATGTCTACAGATGCACTGCTGTCTGCTGGTGTCCCAATAACTATGCAGCAGTGGACATTTCTCATTTCTGGAATAAAAGATCAATGGCTAAAGTTAGCTTTATATCCTGAACTGAAATTCTGACAGAATAAAAATAATCCCTGAATACAAGTTCTAGGAATGAGACTTTCCTCTTCAGAAATGTCACTGGAGTGTCCATTTTGTCCTGGGTTGTTTCTTGGAAGGCAGCTATCCCAAACAGGACTGGCAGGTAGCTGCTGGAAGGCCACAGGGTGCTACACTGCAAATGAAACCATGTAATCACCAGGTGATATAAAGCACCTCCCTATCAAGCTGCAGAGCAACATTAAGTAACACCTTGATAAGAGGGTTTGTTTTTAAGTAATTATTCCTTTTTGCTTAAGTAATTTTAATGAGGTGGCTTGTTAACACTTGTTCATGTACTTCAAATCTGAATGAGACCATTCAGAAAATTAGTCATCAAATGTTAATGAGTTATGGGATAGGCTATTAATTGCCTTCCTTGAATCTGTTTATTTTCTGAGGTCAGGCAAAGATTGATTGATACATGCTGCACTACGAACAGGTATATTGACTATTTCCAGTTTGGTAGGGAAACATATAAGACACACAGACATAATATTCTTCAACTGGACTTATTAAAAAAATTAATTTATTTTCTACCCAAATTAGAGGCAGGGAAAAAGATATACATGCATCTTTTGTTTGGAGTTTTTTAAGAGATTCTGATTCCTTCTGAAAATCCCATTAATTAGTCTGTCAGATTAGATGCCTAACTTTCCATAAAATGGTGGGAAACATGTAAAAGATCTATGAAAGTGTTACAGGTTCCCATCTGCATCTTCAACCATCAAATACTTCTTAAATTCTAACTTTACTAACTCCAATTCACACTTTAAAAACACACTTCATTTTCCATATGTCTGGAAGAAAATTAAAAAATAAAATAAATAAAAAAATCCAACAACCCAAACCTATCTCCCTGGACATTCAACTTATTTAATCTAGTTTTAACTAATTAAAAAAAAATAAAACCCAAACAAACAAAAAACAAACTTTAAATACTACTTTAAATCAAAATCCTATTTCCATCCAAGGGCAGCTTCATACAAATCACAAGTAAAAACACATCTAAAGAAGTGAGTCATTCACTATTTTTAACATAATAAAAGGTCAGAATTTAGACCTGAACAACCCTAAGCCAAACTACACAAGCCCTGGTGTGTGCAGATAGCAATCCTCCCAGCTAGCAACACAGTGCCCAGCTCAGGCACTGCAACACTTGGTTACTATGAGGGATATTCTGAGTTACAAACCAGACAGCTTCAAACTTAACACACCAGCAAGGGGGAATGTGAGTACTCAAACTGATTAGAATCAATTATGTAAATCCACACACCTAGCCAATAGATCTCAAAGACAGGAAAGAAAGAAGAAAAAAGGAGTTGGAAGCTCTAGATTCTTGAGTAATGTATCAAATTTGCATCCTTGGCACTGAGAAAGCAATAGGTAATTGATGAAGCAGTTCCAGACTTGGAAGTTTTCCTCTCTTCTAAAGCCATCAAAGGTGTCTTTGATAGCACAGTAGTCCAGAAAACTGAGGACATCAAGGAGAGTCTAATAAGGCAACAATGTGAAATTTCACTAAAAACAAGGAACGGTTTAATCCTACAATGTTATCTTGAAAATGACTATTCACTTGGAAACTACCACTATTTTCCATACATACTGTGCTTGGGAGGTGAGTTTTCTGAAGCTGCACAGAAACTAAAGAGTGGAAGTGTCAGACTCCATGTTAACAACATGCTTGGTTACAATGCACTCCTGTTTTTCTGCTCCTAAAGGAAGTTATACACTAAAGGAAATACCTGTTCAGAAAGAAAATTAGCATTTATGACATGATAAACCAACAGCTTAAATTGGCAACTGGACATCTATGCTGAGCACAGGTAGTTTCCATCCCCAAGGGCGTTCCTGTTTTGTGGAAGACTTGACCTGTTTTGGAAAATTAACCTTTGAAGAAAAGTGGGCCATGGATGTCTCCAGTAAGATCCAGCCATGTATCCTACATAAACAATTTTTTTTTCTCTGAGCTATAGTACATTAATGAAGCTAGTCTGTTTTATGTAACAACTTAAATTCCAGTTTAAAAGTACATGTCATTTTCTTGAATATTCATTATATGACACTTAACTATAAATTCAAGCATTTCTACATTAAGAAATTAATTAGTCATTAATGTAGCTTAATTAATTGTAAGTTAGCTCCTGAAAGGTTAAGTATTATAATGGATATCATACTCATGCATATAAAATTTATTCTCAAAGCACAACAGTCAGTAAACTAAGAGAGGGAAATTTTAGGGCTTGTACCAATTCTGGTCTGTTTCATAATCACATGACCAAAACAAAAAAGCCTGCCTCAGCAAAGAAAAAAACAACAACAACCATCTGTCTAAAATGCAGTCAAAAATATTAAATAAGCAGCAACATCTTTTCTTCCTCTTTGGACTGTTCCTGAAAGATGCTAATTATACATCTTTGAGTAAAAAGGGCCCCCTCTACTCGACACACAAAAACAATTTGGAAAAAGGTGTGACACCTATACTCAAATCGTGAGAATACTTTATGTATACACTTACTATTTAATGTAATTAAATACTAAATACTAAAAATTACCTATTCCTCCCGATAGATTTCTGAGAAAGAGAGATGTACTCAGTGGGCATCAATCTCTGAAATACCTTATCTGAACAAAATTCATGTAGCTACAGCCCTACGTGAGCTCACAACAGCACACAGCCTTTCGGGCCCATTATGATCACAAAGTAGATGTACACGACGTAGAAAAGCCAAGCTGGGACTTTGCAACAAAACCTCTAAAAATGCACATGCTAAGTACAGCACAAATCCATTTCTAAATCATAATTAAAGTTATTTCAAAAGCAGCAGGTATGTATCCCGTTTCACAGCAGAAATAATGGCAAACGCCGGGAAAATGTGACTAACGTCAAAGCGATACTATGTGTTTATTTAGTCCGGAAAAGCTTACTAAGTATTATGTGACTCTTTACTAAGAAAGACGTGACCTTTTAAAGCTACAGCCGAGCACGGCAGCCACCCCGGTCACTGCAGGTACCCATGGCGTACACAAGCCCGACTAGATGGATCAGTAGGGAACGCAGTGGCAGCTACAAGGACCGGCACTGCCACTCCACCGCTGTTCTCCCCCGAGACTTCCCAGTGCGCGTCCCTGCGAGCGCTGCCAACACAGGCACCCGGGTCTGAGCCATCCCCACCTGCCCAGCGCAAGGGGAGCCCCGCACAGCCCGACCCCATCACAGCCCCTCCTGCCTGCGGGACGCGCCGATGCCGGACTAGGGGCAATGAAACACATCCCTCCCCTCTCCCCGATGCTCAGGTGCGCCGTCCCGTCCCTCCACAGCCCTCATCCCGTTCCTGCTTCCCCCAGAAGGAAGCGGGCATCTTCCCGCTCCTCCAGCACCGCCGCACTCCCGGCTTAGGAACGATCCCCACGGCCTCTCCTCCTCTCGGGGCTCCC